ATTTTTACACTGGAATTAAAGAGCAACAGTATACAAGTGCTATCACGTTACTTTGAAATCTGACACATACTATATATCCCCCCCCCAAGACCCCACCTCCCTTCCCAGAGCCCGTAAACGGTATAGATTTTTAACAAACACAGTCTAAAATATATTAAGACAAAGGAAATTTAAAAAAAGAAGTCAATAACATCTCTGCGTTGAACTCAGCTTCTTCCTCTTGCACTAACTTTGAGCAGTTTAGATTATTCCTATTACATATCATTTTGTGCTGTTGTATTCTACTTTGGCTTGTTTCTGTTTACAAATGATAAACTAGTTTTAAACATTATTTGATTTACATAACATGATTCATGAATGGCCGTGCATGATTTGTTTGGGATTTCTTCATTTATTTACACATGTTTTGTCTAAGGCTTTAACCAACTTCTGTAGGATCAATGCATGAGTAGTAAAACAAAAACCTCATAAAAACACACAAAAAAGGAAGGAAACATAATTACTTTGCTTGCCTTCAAGGCTGAGTCTTCAAGGCGTTGACTTGTCTGGAAACTGGTTGAGACAAAAACATGCCTTAGTACAATAGGATTAACTCAGCTACACTGAGACTGAAATAAATCCCCATTCAGCTGAGCAAGATGGTTCACCGACAAATGCGCGCTCGACAAAACCGCTGGGAAAAACCGCGAGTTCAAAATCGCACCGACGAATGAGCGCAGAAGCGCGCCAACAACAGTATGCCGACAGAAGCAAGCTCTAACCCTAAACCTAATCCTAAACCTAACCCTTACCCTAACCCTTACCTTAACCGTAATCGCGCTTCTGTCGGCGCTCTTTTGCTGACACGCCTTTGTGGGCGCACTGTCGATGTCATGGTTCTATCGCCACGGTTTTGTCGGGCGCGCTGTTGTCGGGCACGCATTTGTTGGGTCACAGAGTAAGATATCAGTCAAATCAATCAGCCCTGTCTGCTTCTTGCTTTTCTGGTATACTGTATTTTAGAACAGGTAACGAGAGACTGAAAACTTCCTTTTTAATTCCTTTTGGCATGATTGTAAGATCAAACTATTTCAGAAACATTTTCATAAAACAGCTTGACTGTTTAAATAGATATATAAATGGGTGACCTGTGTCTATTTCCACTTGGGTATTGCCATATGTTGTTGATTTAAAGAACAATCCTTATTTCGGTTAATTTCTTCCAGCTTCACTCCCTTCTACTTCACTGTATTCATTTTTCCACAGGCTTTGAAAATATATTGCTTTTTAAAAAAATAATACTGAAATTAACAGGTAATAGTGTACATCAATATTAATGCTTTGTGCTTACAGGATTATGAACTCCAGGCTGCAGCTTATAGTTCAGGACTAGAAACTTTACTGAATATTCCTGTCAAGAGGAGCATGGTCCAGTCTCCTTCAGGACTTATTCTACAAGAGGTACATGCCCCTCATTTCAAATTATTTGCAATTTCAGCCATGTGATGGGACTTGTGGAAGGCACCAGTTTGGGAGATCATGTATAGTACACTGTTCTGACCCCCTCCTCCATCCAGTAACGAAAGCCACGCTTAATGAGAATGTCCTTTAATAGCAAGTCCAGACTCTCGGTGGCTGAAAGCCAAGTAAACAAATAGATAAGGACTTTGGCAGTAAGTCCAACAAACCATGGCAGCAATGCAAACAAACTCTGGCAGCAATCCAGCCTGCCAAGTTAGTTTA